TTCCCTACAAACAACTTTACACCAGTTTCTTCAATCCATCAGCACCTTTTTGTCACTGCCTTTTCTGCAGGTCGATCTGATCACACTTGATAGCGCTGCAAAAGCACTGCTGAGCGAATCTCAGGATCCAGTCAACATGAGAAGTAATCCAGATACCGACCATAAATCCTTTCCAATATTTGATTATCACTTATAACCATTAAATCAATGGCTAATTCCATCTCTAAAAACTGCCTGCAGCTAAAGTTAGGCGGCTTTATGACATTGCAAACGTCTTTTCTTCCATGAATTTAATCGAGAAGGTATAATCTCCTACGAGGCTGTTATAAGATGGTACAAAATAAACCTGAACTTGAATGTTCCGATCTCTCATCTTCTGTTTTTCGTTTTAACTTGTCTGCAGACTCATATCCCAGAGACAAGGAAACCAGCGTATAGGTGGCTGGGGTGGAAAGGTATGTCTCAAAACCGATCCCTGGTCGACCTTAACGAGCCTAAGAAGAGGAGGATATTTGGGATGGAGATCACAAATTTATGTTCAAAGAGAAACAAAGCAGAGTTTACTACGAATCAGAAGCCAAATGGAAAGGAAAACGCAATCAAGGGGAAGAATCAGGAAAGAATCTACAAGATGGACCCACAACGATATTCGAAACCAAACCAGAATAAGAGCTTTGTCTACGGTCCATTCACCCCCACAAGCGTATCTCGGATAAACGATGTAGGAAACAATGACACCCAAACTCCAAGGCTTCAAGATCTGGAAAACCTTGCTTCTACCCACAGACCACAATACTGTAATCAAGGTAAACAAAAACAATGATTTTTCCACCATACATATCTCCTATAGCAATACATTCGTATTCATGGATTTATGAACAACGGTTTTGGATTTGATGAGCAGCTTTGACCGGTCTTCTTGGGCATTACACAGAGGCATGGAAGTCATGGTATTCAGAATTCTCTCACAAATGATCAAAGCATCCATTCTCCTTTCTCACCCGCCTTTCATGATACCAAAATTAGTGTTCTCCTCTTCCTTTTTTTTTTCTTTTTCTTTTTCTTTTTGTGCTCCTATTACCTTCGGATGTATCTACTTGATTCTCCATAAGTACATAACTGGCAATGCTTATTCTTTGAAAGGGAAGAAAAAGGGCATCTGGTCATTTCATTTCTTTTGTTCCTTGATGTTCAAGTCACCTGCAGTGAATTTATCACGGTCGGTGACCAAGATTTAGAATTTGTGGGCTAAATGAAACCCGCAGAATATTCTTACTGAAGTAAACTAAATAATAATCAATAAAATATTTCAGGAAAAAAAGTAATTTTCATAAAACACAAAAAAAATCAAATTAATGCAGAAAAATAATGTCAAAGGAAGAGAAAAAAAAAACAGAAGACATTTTATAGTTGGTCGCTGGCCTTCACCACCACTAAACCTAAACGATGGCGTTATGTTTTTATTTGTGTTTATTAGGGCACGACGAGTGGTTCCAGGGTTTAGCTCTTGCCTTTGGGAAGCTCTTGATGATCATATGAATCAAGTTAACGAGAGAAAATATATAAGAGGTTCATCATTTAAAGAAAAAGGAAAGTAATTTAACTTCTCAATCATTTAGGCATTTGGGGTCCAAGCAAACAATTAAAAAACTTGCTAAAATCATCATGGCTCCCATTTAATTCCATCTCCCTATAAATATAGTAAATACCCATCAAGGAAAAAAACCATTCAAACTTTCAACAAACGTTTTCTTCCGGAAGAGATATACAAAAAAAATGGAGATCAGAGTGGTAATACTGATGGTGGCTCTGATTTCGACGTTGAGCATTGAGCGATTGGAGGCCCAACCGATAAGCCCGGTGAGCTGCTTGACGTCGATCATGAAGGCGGAGGGATGCTACGAGGCGGTGAAGGAAGCGATAAAGGGCAATTTCGGAAGTATGAAAAAGGATTGCTGCAGCGCCCTGGATGGACTAGCCGACGACTGTCTCCCCATCGTGTTCCCGTCTCAACCCTATCTTCCCTTTCTCGTCAAGGTCTTTTGCATTTTCAAGTCCGAGGCTCGTGTTTGATCTCTCTTTCTTCCTTTCTTTCATTGCTGTCGACAACCAAATAAGTAAACTAATAAAAGGTGCTCTCTTATCTTATCCTCCATCTTATTTGTGCTCTGTCTATCATATTTTTTATATGAACAGATATGAGTACAAAGAAAATATTACAATGTTTGCTGAAGAACAAAACTCCTTCCCAATTCAAATTCGAGTTTTTATTTGGAGAGATGCATTCACCCGTAGTTTTTCATTCCTCTAAAATATGTAGTTGCATCGTTTATTAACTTTCGAATTATTAAAAAAAAATAACAATAGTAATCCATTAATTAAAAAAAATGGTAATAGATAAAAGCCCATAAGGCGTTTAACCCAAAGAACTTCGCGGCCCTGAAAGAGGCCCACCATAAACCCCGATTGAAGATCGACGCTAGAGCGCGTGAGACACACTTGCGAAAGCAAAATGAATGTGAATAGATAGATTATCGATTTTTTTCTAGATTAAGAAGGGACAACAATATTGTTCCGACAAAAGAAAATACCCAGAACTGAGTGATTGGGTTATAGGCATAACATCTATACAAAGAGGATTAGGATTAGGACCGGCATGTGTAAGAATACGAACTTCACTCTTGTCGGCCTAATCCATGTTATAGATACAAAGAACAACGCGTTCCACCATGTGTCCGTACCCTCCTCTCCCCATATTCACAACCACTACCTCTTACAAATACACACAACATCTTAACCTAACAAATACAAGCGTACACATACACTTTACCCTCAAAAGCAAGGAGGGTCTTCCCCTCTTTCACATCTCTCTCTCCCTAAAAGCTTGCGTCAACACCAAAGGGCGGACAGTGACAGAAGGCCTGCGACTTTCCTCGCTCTACCTTTCCTGTGTCTGAACTGTGACGTTAAAAAAAACGAAAAAAAAAATGGACCTTCGTCTGTCATCTTGCGGCTGAGATGAATCTGTGGAATCTTTCTACTCTGTCGAGGTGGCGTGGAGAATTCCCCTCAGACGAGTTTCTTCTCTTCTTCCTCCTGCGGAAGAAATCCTCCGTGTCCAATACATACGAAATCTACAAGAACGTGTGGATGAAATAACTGGTGAATCCAAAGAGCGATTTGCACATGAAACAAAATATACAGTTTGGGAGGCTTAGGCCTTGAAGGCTTCAGCCGAGTAGAAAAAAAAATCCTTAAACTCTATCATTTACATATCTAGATTTCGGCAGAATCCGACAAATCTGATATTAAAAGAATCTGATCCTTCATAAACTGATGTCTGGGAACACAGTTTAACTTGTGTTTTTGGGAGCATTGTTTTTGGCTCGTTGCCCATTCAACCCTAAATTAGACAGGACAGAGATCATTTACCTTGTAGGAAGAGCAAGACATCTTGCACTCGAGGCCATTTATTACTTCAACGCCATCCATGGCCTGGCAAATCGCAGAAAGATCATCCAAGCCCGCATATCTACTCTTGTTTCTGCCAAAAGTCAGCCCACAGATTGATTGAACTATCTTTTATAGTATCCAGTTTGGATCTTTGAACCATCTGTCTATCAAATATTTAAGCAAAAAGATAATTTTGCAAGTATTTGCATTGTCTTAGAGACCAAATGAAACAACTCAGATCAAATATGAAGCAGCTCAACCAAGGAAAGTGGGAACAGTAAACAAATGACAAAACCAAACAAACATGTCATTAAATAGACCCACACAGGTTAATCCCATTAAAACAAAATAAAGGAGCGGATTTGGAAAGCAGGTTCTGCGAGTCAAAGAAAAGGATGATGAATATCACAGGCCAATCAAAAGGTTGAATTCAATGCTTAACCACAGCCCGAGGGGTGCATTAGGCTAATAACCACAGTGATTATTGCTTCTTTCCTGCTGGAGCATAATTGGATTAAGAAGCAAAATAAATGACTGAAATTCTTTTCCAAGTTAGATACCTTCGCAACACAATGTCAAATGGCTCCTTTTTCAACGACGATATGGAGAGGAACTCATTTTGGAGATAGCTTGCAAAAATGGGATCCATAGACACTGCATATGCCTCTGGCTTTTCAATTACGTTGTCCATAAGCTGGATCGACAGACGATGTGGCAAGGACAACTGCAATTGCATCATAAACGAACTAAGATTTTTGCATCAATAAACAAAATGCAGTACCTTATAACTTAAAACCAATATATACATATATGAGTCAGTTAGGGCGCTCACACATTCCAACCGATAAATGTTTTCCTCGTGAAGAAGAACCCGGGCATTTTCGCAATACACTGAATCGATAAGCTTTCCAGGTTTCCGGGATTTCTCATATTCATACAACTGAAGGAGTTTATCGTCCATGTCGTCAGCTGCTGCCGCTTGGAGCTACATCAGATAAAACTCAGAACATAACAAGATGATTGATTTCAACATATTAAAAATCTAAAACCACTGATGTCCGTACGAACCTGTTTAACCAATTTGTATATCAGTTTGTCCAATGTGAATAACACATATGATTGATTTCCAAGAATAGCTCTGCACTCATCTTCAAACTTGGTATTTTCAACTGAACCATCAAGCAAACTATACAGTGCGCTCATAAATCTGCAATCATACAGATAAAAATACTAAGCTTAAATTTAAAAAAAAATGGAGTTGAATTGAATAGATAATAGTGTGTATAATATGGCATGTGCATGTAACTGATGCGAAGGCACCTTGAATAAGGATCAGGTGTACTGGTAGTATCCTTCAAATTTCCCCATTTCATCTCACTGCCTGCGCAATTCATTTTGGCCGACAAAATTCTCTCGTAGAGGATCTGGAAATTTCACATAATATCACATTTAAGATGCAACACAGAGAATTATCACAACAGACACAAACTTGAGCTAGTAATCATAACAAAAGATGGACTTACCTGGTGAAGCCTAAAAAGCACATAAATGTCGTCATTCCCATAGAAAACCCTTGAATCTTTTTTCCTTTCATCGAGCAAAACGGTAGCTACGTACTTGGAAAGAGGTTTGACAGACAAAAGAACACGTTCTGACAATGGAAGTGATCCACCATCTCCTTCTACAAGATGCGAGTCCATTCCCTCCGCTTCTCCTTCGCTCTCAGCCTTACCATCAACTTCATCATTCTCACCATCTTCCTCCCCTCCATTCTCATCATGTGAACACTCATCACCATCAGATTCAGTTCCTGATGCATCTTCACCAGCCTCGGAACCATTGTCACTGTCCTCGTCATTTTCTCCTTCAGCCTCAGCTGACTGCTCTTTTGGTACAGATTCCACACCGACATCTCCATAAACACCAAAATTGTCCTCGAAATCACCAATAGGTGACAATTCACCTTCTTCCTTCTCAGCTTTGGATGGATCAACAGATTCATCATAACTCCTATCGACTAAAGAAGCATCCGGTAGTACGCTGTTTGCTAAAGCTATTGATTTGCCAACATCTCCACCCTGAGAAAACACCAGGACCATTAATATAAATCGAATAGAGCAGATCCGAAACAGTCTATAAAAGGTACAAGAACTAATAAGTGCATATGGCAATAGTGAAACTGAGCATGGAACCTGAGTCGAATGAACAATATCAGTGTTATCTACGCCATGATGTTTCTCTGGGAAGACACTTGGTCCTGGTTGAATGTCTTGAGAACCTTGAAAAATAAAATTATAAAATTGTATACCATTGCCTTACAATAAATAAAAAACACAACTACCAGGAAGAAATTTAAATTCATTCCGGACAATACCTGTCATATCTCCGCTTCCTAGTTTACCATTATTGTTTTCTACCCCGCTTGAAAGTGATACATTTAAAGTGGCTACTCTTTCATCAACATCCATTGGGGTAGTAATTCCGGATCTTTTGTCAGCCTCATCTATGGTGCCTTGGTCTTTCTGAGTGTTAACAACAGGGCAGGCAGCATCATCCTTGTTGGTAGCATCAACACCTTTGTGAGTTTCTTTCCCTGAGGAGTACCTGCCTCCCAAACCAACCCTGTCATGTCTGGAAGTCCCATATGAAGCATACTCGCCCCCATTAACCGGAGATTTGCCTCCAGAGCTAAAATTTGCCTCCCCGTTAGTAGAGGGACAGTGATTCACATCGGGATGCTTGGTTTCTGCAACATCTTCAACAGAATCTGTGCTCTTCAGCCTGGGAGGAACACCTAGCATTGGTTCCAGGAAATTTTTCCAGAGCCTCAGAACCTTACTAAGCTGCTCTTTTGTGGAACATATCTCTTCACATGAAAATTGGACCAGTTTGTACAGGTCTTCGTGAATACTTTTGTCAGAGAATTCATACTCAAGGTGTGCAACAATGGGTTGTTTGTAGCCAGCAGAAACAGATAGGAGAATATCATCCTCCTTCTGAGACTTCTCTTTCAGCTCCTTAATTTCAGCCACCAAAGCTATTTATTCCACCAAGAAGAAACCAAACAGAAAATTATGAGATCGACAGCATGATCTGAATTATGCAATAAACCATAAAAAGAAAGGATCATATTGGCTACTTTAAGGAAATCTAACAATATGGAAATTTCACTTACATTTCGCGCTCAAGTTCTTCGAATCTTGCTGCTTGAAATAGAAGCTGCGGTGATCAAGGGATTTGTAATGGTTTTTTGCATAAACATCAGCCCAGACCTTATTAAAGTCTTCACGGCATTGTGCCCATTCATCTTGTTTCTGCTTAAGTCGAGTTAGAATTACAGGAAGTCCAGCAGCTGGATTCTTGCGTAATATGTCTATCACATCAAGACCATGATCACCATAAAGTCGCTCCATGCACCTCAAATTCAGCTCTGTAATATCAAAACGAAGATGGACAAGGTAAGAAACCAAGAGATAGAGGAAAAAAGAGGGAGAGGTGGAGAGTGGGAGAGAACAGAGAAATCTAGAAAACTAAAGATTCCAGATAATCGATACCATACACACCAGTGAAGTAGTCTTCGATCCGGAAGGAGCCATCAAAACTTATTTTGTTCTCAGTGATGATGTTCAACAGATCCTCTGCACGTTTAGCAGTAGACCCCACAGATTCCAACAGCATGTCCAACTCAAATCTGTGATTAGCGGAAAGTTACACCTTAGTTTTCATTAAAATTTAAAAAACAATATTTACCTCACAGAACACAAATAGTAAAATGTCATAAGTGATAAAGTTCTTGTTTGCGCTTGCAGCGAAATCCAATATGAAATTTACCTATCATCTTCGCATCTGAACAAGCTTTCTTCATACTGGTTTCTCCGCATGTGCTTAAAAGAGTAATCCTCACTTCCTGATGTTACAGAAACCCAGTGGTCATTCAACACCTCGGCTCCAAGCTCTGATCTTTGGCTCGCAGATGGTATTGGATACTGCATATGACCATAAAAATTTTACATGTTAGTAGTTCAACAACAGTTAATATGTCTGTGATGGAACTTGGAACAAGAAAATCTTTGTTACATCTGAAGGCAGGAGTCGGTAGCTTGGAGTGCAACGTTCACAATTAGATAGATCAAGCTCTTGGATAGATTTTCCCATATACTTCTCCCTGTACCGATCCTTTTCCTTAGCAGCCTCGGGATCACGCTTGTGATCTCTTTCTTTTTCCTCCACCTTCATTGACCTGGATAAATGGTCTTCACTGCTAAGCGATTCTGCAGCAAATGGATAGGCAACATCAGTAATTTTCTCACAATAAAGTACAAACCCAGTGGGCAATGATATCAATGGACAAGGAAGCAAAGACATTTTTATTGCATACTTTTGCTCATTACACCAGCAAGGTGCTGGAACCCATCTGCACAAAACGATTGTTGTTAGAACCATACAATTAATGATCAGCAGTAAACTGACTAAGCCATTTTGCAGTTTTTGAATACAATACCAATACTCTCACAACGCTCGAAGAATTGATTGAACTCATCCATGAGATCAGGGTATTTTCCAAGAAGATCAGAAACCTGAAAGCAAGAGAGTGGTATTATGTACTTCCTTGGGGAGACCACAATATCTACTTTTCACTATTTAAGAAAAAAGGCCATTTTATTGAAACCTACCAAATTCTGCAGATCCTTCCTTTGGATTATCCCATTGCTAAAGATATTAAGGCACTTCAAAAATGTCTGGTAATCATCTTGACTGCATAATCTCTCCTTGACTTTCTCGCAAAGGACAAATGCTTGGTTGTACATGCCTAACACAATGGAAGTAACGAGAAAAGAATTGTAAGTAGAAAAACATGAAGAGTGGTTGCACCATAAAATACCAGCTAACAAAATAGAATAGAAATGGTTTTACTTCCCACACGAATGTAAGAATTTGGTCATCCATCAAGTTAAGTGGGCATATATGATACCTGTGTTTACTTTTCTCTTAGATCACAGGTATCCTTCCTCTCAAGAAATGACATCATCATAGAATGAGAAGGAAAGTATTTAGGTGCTAAAACCCAGAAAACAGAAAAAAGTATAAATGCATACACATGTATTTGTTGGGTCTAGCACTGTAATTTACTTACTTTTCAAATTATCTTTCTCAGAGTACGAAGCAGGACCAGAGTAGGCTTCAAAACCTTCAGTTCTTCTGGATGACTTCCTTTTCTCTGGAAAATGCTGTAAATTATCTTGCTCGGCCTCTCTATCGTCCAATTCCCGGTTTCTCCTTTCTCTATTCTCCTTTTCAACACGTTTCCTCTGATCTCTTTGCATCTTCACCATCGCCTTATCATCATTAAGGTCAGAACGGTCAACGCTATGATCACGGTCACCCCGCAAGGCCGCAGCCCTTTCTCGTCGACGCTCCTGATGATGAAAGATGCATTATCACACAAAGGAGAGACCCAACAAAAATAATCGAACAAGAAAAAGATGAAACCGACAGCATACCTTCTCCATTTGCATTTGACGCATAGGAGAAACACCCGACCCCCGGTCATTATATCGTTGTAACTGATTCCGGCCAAACTGGGAATTTTGTGCCGAGTGCAATGCCAAAGACTCTGGCAAAAACCTAGTAAATTCTTCGAGCAAATCCGGATGGTCCTCAAAAAGAACAGAAACCTAAAATACATATATCAGAAAGCTAGAAAATGGCCAGAAACCTAAATACCTCCTATGTGAATAGACAGTACAGAAAAGATAACACCATCCAGCATAACATTACCTCGCTGTAGACCTCGTTGATATCCTTGTTCTCCTTCCGGTACATGTTCAAGATATCCAAGAAGGATTTATAGACATGCTCATCATGTTGGAAACGTTTCTGCGTTGATAAGAAATAGACTGATACGTTGATACACTTGAAGTAATGAGAGTTCGTAATAAAACATAATGAGCGGATTTCGGTTACCACCTTGATTTTATTCACAAAGGTTATGGCTTCTTCAAACTCAACAGTCTTCTTTGGTGGAGCTTCATCGTCATCGAGTGTTATTTCGTATCCCTTAGGCAAGAAGGTATTAAATCCATATATTAAATTGTTATGTCCCTTGAACAACTCCTTCACCCGTGCAATCACACCAGCGGTGTCAGTCCTGCGAATGCAAAACGCAAAATGTAAAATAACCCTTTCTTCTTCTTTTAAGTACAGCACTCAAAACTTTCAACCCCGTAAAAAAAACAAAAGTCTTACCTTTGGGCTTTAAAGTCTTTCATAACTTCAAGAAACATATCATATTTCTCCCTTTGATCTTGAAACATCTCCTTCACTTCCTTCAGGTACGTCAAAGCGTCATTTGTTGTCAATTTCTGAGAGCCACTCCCCCCACCACCAACGCTCCCCCCTCCAGCACCACCGCCGCCAGTAGGGATGTGAGATTGTCCAAATCTGTGCCACAAAAACCCCTAATCAATCAATAAATTTCGAAATAACCATTAAACCCCCAAAACACCTGTATCCAAAAACCTATAGCGACATGAAGTTGTTCGAATCCAAACACAGTTGTCCACTGTTCATGCAAGCAACTGATAGTTTCAAAAGAGAATCGGATTCGGACAGTTGCGTCAGAGGAAAGGAAAAGTTGTTTCTTTTCACAGATAGCAAGGAGATCCAACCATCAAAAAAAGCATGCTTCATCTATGAGCAAGAAAAAAAGCCCCGATCACTTGCAAGATCGAGAAATTCACATAGAAACCCACAAAATCAAAATTACGGATTGACCAACAAAACCAAAATCAACTCCGTAAAGGACGAATGAAGGGCGGAGGACAAAACCAAGAACGGTTGGCATATACCAAGAAATCACTGAGACAAGAAAAAAACAGAATATCAGAAAAATATCCGTCAAACCGACATACAAGGCTCATGGGTAGCGAATTCAATTTTCAAGTAACGAAGCCGGAACTTACGATTCGCCTCGAGAAGAACCCAAAGGACGTTGGAATTGAGACCCAGAGGCATACACATCATCTCTTATCCGCTTCATTTCTGCAAAAAAAAAAAATAGCTATCAAGAACAGAGAAAACTGCTGGAAATTCTTTTAATCGAAATCTGAACTGAAGGGGGTGAGCATAACACCAAAAAGGGAAACCCCATCACCGGGGAAACGTGAAATTTCCGGTAAAGCTAAAGAAACCTACTTTCTGATTTCCCGAGAAGAGAACGGGAAAGGATGAAACACCGAACTCAGATCTCCTGAATCGGAATGGAATAGAGAAGAAACACTTGGATCACCGACGAAGGTACATAGGTATATACAATACAGGTTAATTCCGGAGAAACTTCCAATTTCCAAGTTTACAGACAACACTGAAGGTTTAGATGATGTCGGAGAAGAAGAAGAAGAAACAAGGGAGAAGGAAATAACAGAGAGAGAGAGAGAGAGAGAGAGAGAGAGAGAGAGAGAGAGAGAGAGAGAGAGAGTTTCAAAAGGGTTGCAGCAAAAGTGAAGTTCCGAATATGGGGAAGAAATGGGGAAGAATTGCCCCTTGTGCCTCTTAGTTCGCTCGCGTTGCGTTACTTGACAACTGGTCATAAAATGTTTTTAGATTCGTTTTGGGCCATAAATTGAAGGTCGGGTCCAATAAATAAATAAATAAATAACATTAGGCCGGAAATTTACACGGCGAGACATCATTTTCGTGGCCTCGGCCTTTTTACAATACGTAATGATTTATTATAGGCCTATTCATATTGGACCAAATGTTTTCCGTCTGCCGTCATTAAATAGCTCAATTTAGCTCGGCCCAGTTTTTTGTTGGAACGTGAAATTGTATAGAACCAAAGAGGAAAAGACAAAAATAGCGTACAATAAAGATGGCCAATAGCCAATGGAAAAGAACGATATGGCAAAAAAAAAAAAAAAAAAATGATAACTGCAAAATCTTACAAAATGGCAATTAATATTTCCATGTTAGGAAAAAAAAACAGATACTACAACACTATTGGATGAAGCCAATGGTTGAAATTTGAAGACCTAATATCTGTAGAGAAAGGAAAAGAAAAAACTCGAATTTATTGGCGGATACATATGTAAGTAAATTCCCGTGTATATACAAAAAACCACTAGAGAGGCCTAGGACTAGGAGCCAATGCATTGTCGGAAAAACGAAGAAAAGCCGCAAGTAGGCTTCGAACGGCCACCGATGTTTTTTTTCCGACCTTGACCTTGACCGTGACCATGTTCATCTGGCGCGCTTTCTTTCGCAGCAGCAGCAGCACCTTCTGGATTTTGAACCGTCGTCCCAATTCTCGAGTCCATAATGTACTGATCGTCCCATATGCGACCCGACGAACCTTGCCGCCTAAATGACACAACCGATCTCTGCAACGTCGTCATATATTGAGATTTTCCTTAGCATACAAGAAAACAAGACAATTATTTTCTTTTTTGTCTCTTTTTCTATCTAATCATAGTAGTGATGTTTCGGTTTATTTCAGATCTAGAGGGGGGAAAAAACGTATATAATTTTTTTTTAATGGATAGAAGTTTTAGTGATGTAGGAGAACCCACCCCAACTTTAGATAATCTAATCCGATACGAGTGGCTCATGTTACGTGTTACTTAATTTGCTAAATTTAGATTTGTATGACGTCTTCTATATCATGTATCAAAATAAATATATATATATATATATATATATTACTTTGGACACCATCCGTATTTTTATTTTAATCTAATCTACCCAGGAAACATGCATCATTTTTTTTCAATAAACGAATATTTTTGCCGTCAGACTATTATAAAAGAAGTCTGTTCCCATGTCGAAGAAGGCCTGCTGTTTTGGGCCGTGAGAGCCCATTTGAAGGTTGTTCTCTAGGGTTTTTGCCGCCAGACTATAAATATAAGTAGGGCTTCGAACTTCTCTGTCTCGTAGCCACCCATTTTTTTTTAGGGTTTTCGCCGTCGATCTATGTGCATTGGAGCAGGACTTGGACCTTCTCCTGTTTACTGGTAATTTCCAATAGTCGTGTTGTGTTTTGCGTTCTCTCCTCCTCTAACTCTCGTCGCGATTTCTGGATTGTTCGATCAGTTGATGAGAGAACTGCAACAATATGATGGAAAAATTCACGTGATTCCAATGTATTTAAGTCTCTGATGATCGGAAATTTCCCTCTCCTCCTTGAATCTTTGGTATTATCCTCATCCAAATCTATCAGAGGTGTTTTTGTGTGGAAGGTAAGAAGAATGTGGAGATGTGATGAATAATTAATTGGTCCGTGTTTCGGATTGATGATGACCGATTACTCTTCACCAAACTCTGATCTCCCTCATTCTTCCTCGTCTCTCGTTAATTTATTTGGGGATGAACAAGATTGATTTTGTTTTTGGACATCTCGTGGCTCTGTGATAACTTGCCTGTAAATGGCAGTATACGCTATTCTGATAACACGGCATGATCGGAAAGAATTTCGAATAAATCTGAGAGCCCTTCTTTGATCCTCTATTTTCTGAAATTTGGATCTTTTTTTTTAAATGCTTTTAAAATTTTGACAAGTTTTCTTCCTCCGATGAATCGATGAGAAAAAAAAATCACGTCAGACTTTGGAGATTCTCCCCCAAAAAAATCTCATTGATTTTGAGCATAAAAGTCCTTTTGTTTTGGAAACTGTTAGTTGTTTTTTCGGTCTCATGTTGAAATCATTTCACAACAAAATTCCGACATACGTCGACGATAGTGGAAGAAATGGACAGTGGGCACTGGTCGAGACAGGGGCTCAAATGGGTTGGGTCTTGAATATTGGGCTTTGCCCATTTCAGACCAATGTGTGAACGGGCTTTTATATATGGCATTGTTGTTGGATTTGTAATTGTATTTATGAATTTAGGTTATGAAGAATTGTCAACTCTCATGCATAGACCTAAACTAGTCGTCAAATTTGTAAGACCTATTCCCATAGGCTGTCATATTTTCTATGTGAACCCATTCCGCTTTTTGATTATCTAAACCAAATGGCCCATGCCCAAGTTTCGTAGCATAAGACATCCACCGCATCCAATGTAAGGAAATTATGAGTCAAAAAAAGACACTCACTTGCCTCTTTCCTAGGATGCTTAGCCATCTTCAAAAAATTGTCTTTTCAAAATCATAAGTTACTAACTGCGTGAAATTACACATTTTGGGGTTATGTTTTGAGAATGAATTAATCATATTTTAATATCGTAATTACCATAAGTACTTGTCCGTTTTAATTGAATACAAAAATAAATTATTTTCTCTTTTTGATTACCCCTCGTAACCCTCAGATCCGAAATTGGATATAAGATATAAAATAATAGGAATAAAATCTAACAGTCAGTCCATTTTTCTAGTTGCTTCCAATCCAATTATGGGCATCGCAACTTTCTTATTAGTTTTTCCTTTTTCCGAGTTTCTACCGATTTTATATTACATTTTCCTATATCACATATTCTTCAAATTTCTGTCGTATCAATATATAATATCCAAGCAATGCTGTAACTAGTTACTATGGAGAATATAAAAAAATATATATACGATCCAATTAACCATAGATCTATAGACTATAGTAGTTTGCATTTCCATTCATGAAAATTTCCTCCTCCTTCTAAACATATAAACAGACAGGTATTCACATGGATATATGTATATATATATATATATTAACAAATCCAATGATTATTTGCTGAAATTGGAGAGCATGCGTGACTCTCTTAATGTGAAATTGTGACGAACGTTCACATTGGTAACAAAAGCACGTGTTTCGAAGAAAGTCCACATCGCAAGACAATTTTGCTTTTTTACTGACAATTTCTCCATGTATCATTTACTTTAAACTATAATAATTAGAAATTTTAAAATTAATATAAGAATCTAAAACCCTATAAATAGCGATGCTTGATTACACACACACACACGCATATACATATATATACAGGAAATATGGGGTTTCTAGTCGCAGGAGAGATGGCACTATTGCATGTTTTGCCTGCAGTCTTTATTCAAATTAAGGTACAATTTGGATGTAGGATATTATACGATCATGCCTAGAAACCCATTTGATATATGAATATATATATATATATATGTGTGTGTGTGTGTGTATATATATTTGTTTTTTTCTGGTAATTAATATATATAAGCTTTATTAAAGATATAGATAGAACTAATGTCAACCTTACGAGTATAGATAAAAGGTGCTTCTAATCACTGAACCATATAGTTCTATCTTTTTGGACACATTTTCATTAGTATGCGTGTATATATATATACATTCTTGCATTACATATATGTGGATGTAATGGATACGTACTCGTATATGTATTTCTATTTATGTGATGTATAATAGATCACAATAGAAAAAAAAAATGGGTCATGCAATGGTGCCATTCTCCTGTGACTTGAAACCCCAGAAGAATCCATGGATGTCCGAGGGTGCGCGAAATCCGTTCCACAATGCAAGAAACCCGTTTGGGAGCATACGGTAGTTAAAACTCGTCCGGTAATACAAGGAATGTATTTGAAAGTGTAAAAAAAAATTTAGAGAACCTTCTAATATCGCGTTATTTATAGATAATGAAATAGATATTAAAATACAATTATTATTCATTGTGATACACGTTACATTCGAATATATAATTTTGTTATAAAATATTGTTGTATGTTCAAACATTGCCCAATATAGATGTCTTATATCGTGACGCGAATAGTAAGAAAAAATTTCACCCGGGTAAAAAGGATAGAATCTACGGTTAAAATAAAATAAAATAAAAATTGAATCTCCAAGAAGCCACTGATGAACGATGAGGCAACAAGTGAGCGACACTGAGAATAAAGAGCAGAATCCAATCCATCGTACCGGGCTTCATCATACATACACAAAGAATCCATGAGATCCAGAGCTATATAACCACATCAACATTCTCTCTCCCTCGTTTGTATTCTCTGTAATCCTCGCGTTTCAGGGTACAAAACTGGGCTTTGATCATTACCCAAGAATATGCTTCCCCCCTCACTGGCATTGCCGTGACCTGAAATTCTCAGTCGACAACAAATGGCTGATGAGATTCTCAAGCCGTTTGGCTCCGGCCCCAGGCCTTAAGACTGAGGTGTCACCGGTGACCGAGCAAGGGTCACTCCCGTTATCCCGGGGACCGACACACCATCCGCCCGGCGTTACCCTCCCATGACGCCGAAGCAAGAGTTCCGAGTCGATCTTGTCGAGAACTGCTTCGTCCCTCCGGAACTTCCTGGCGAAAGGGGCGTTACTGTCGACCATTCTGTCAAAGTCAAGGAGGGTGAGATGGTGAGGGTGCTGCTTTGGAGGGTTGTCCCACGAAATGAAGTGAAGGTCGCTGTTCACTGTCGTGTTTCTGAACTCCAGAGCGTTGCAGATCACGGTGTGGAAATAGCCTTCGGGAGAGGAGAGGAAGTTCGAATAGTACATGAGGGCGGTCCGCGGAAGATTGTCCCATCCCCAGATGAAATAATCCACGAAAGGTCTCGACAGCACCATCCACGCAGATCCTGTCACAAGCAAGTAGAATTGTATCCCTATGAAAATTTACATATTGATTCCATACACAGATGGCTTATTATGAACCTTATCGGTGATCAAGCAAGCGAATCTTTCAGATACAAGCATACCCAATATGCGCATTACACATAAAAATGAAAACTTTATAAACAGATCATCACCTGTGTAGAGTTTGAATGCCGTAGGCACACTCCTTCTCTGCGTAACCCAGAAAACATCAGCTTTCTTAGACATGTACAGTCCCGGGTCGATGATTATCGGTTTTGCTCTGTGGTACCTACAAATTCCGATGCAGAAGAATCTCAGAATGGCAGCATAGCACACGGAAGAACTTGTTTTGTTTTGAGAACTCGAGTTCATTGCAAGACTCACTCTTTC